TCTCTCTCTCTCTCTCTCTCTCTCTCTCTCTCTCTCTCTCTCTCTCTCTCTCTCTCTCTCTCTCTCTCTTTTCGCGGCTGGCCTCGTGGTACTGCGCCCTCCATAGGATGAGCAAAATCGAATGAATCTGGCGCTATAGCGTGGGAATTCGTTTTTTTTTACCTTTTTTTTTTCCGTTTTTTTTTTCCCGTTTTTTTCGTTCTTTCACTCCCACGTTCGGGATGCCTGCGCCCGGTAGTCCGAGCCTCGGCACAGATCGGCGTACCGGTCGGTCGAGGCTCGGACTCCATAGCTGGGCCAGGTACTGGTGGTTTAAGCAGGTACTGCTAATGTTTGTAGGGCCCGGGGAGGAAATGCAGGCACAGGGGCTCCCATAGGGACTGCCAACTCTCGGTCCCCTGATGCTACCAGCAGACCGCTGGCCGGTATCGCCCACCTGCTGTGGCAGGTATCACACCTGCTGGTGGGTGCAGCTCTCGCATGTTCCCTAATTGGAGGCTTGAGCCCAAATGTGGCTGCTACGGGCTCCCCGAATACCAGGGGTTTTCGGTCAAAGTCGCCTGGGACGTAATCTCGGCACCAAGAGGCCAGGGTGCCGGGCGGCCTTGGAATCCTAGACCCAGTCCAACAAAACCTCAGTTTGCTACTAGGCAAATAGGTGGTCTCGGCTGTATTTGGTAATCAGAACAAACTCTGGATTAAACTTGCCGAATCCCTCTTCGTAAAGGAATGGAAACTGAGGGAACCTTCTCATGTATGGACTTGCCTGTTCATCCCATCGTTCACGAATAGGAGGGCCAAAGTCTTAACTTTGGGGGAGCATTTTACAGGCCTGGAAGAAGATCCAGCCCCAACAAAGCAAACCTCCTACCACAAAACTGGAAACTCTGAACCAGATCCTGTTTGACAATTCTTTTATCAAACACTGTTAGGAGGACGGTTGAAATGTTTCTGCAGATGGGCAGACTCCAAGCTTGGGTTGAATGCGGTGTGGTGCAGTGAAAGGACATATGAGATAGTGGGACACCCAAACTGGTGACTAGGTGCCGGTGGAAACACTGAAGAGGAAGTTGTCTCAGTTCCAGAATGTGGAAAGCAATATCTACAAAATGTGTAGAGCTATCCCCGATTTCTGGGTGGAAACTTTGAAACCGGCGGTTATAAAACCTTTGGACACATGTTGGGGAAGACCTGGACGATGCAAGGAATATTATGATAACACTGGGCCCGAGACCCCAACAGGGTGTAAGGGTTCCGTAGTGGCAGGAGCTGCGACAATATGACGGACAAATAATTTTGAAACTAGTATGGAAAAAATTCATCCAATCTAGTGAACATCTTACGAAAGTTAGAGTCTGACTGCTTAATCCGGCAAAAGACTTAGGTGCAGTATTAGTGATCAGATCCCTGAACAACCACAGGTAGAGTCTCTGCTAGTTGGTTGGAATGATGTAGCAGGACCCTGATTGTTTTCCCCGGTATTGTTCCACAAAGACGTATGTAGGAGTTCGAATTCAACAAGCATCGAGGAAAAGCCGTACGATTACCGTTGTTGTAGATAGGACCTCAAAAGAACCCGGATTCCAACTAGGCGCACTGGACTTGCATAAGCTCTGAAAGACTCTTAAGACTTAAAATGATCCCTTCTCAGAGTATCATATGGTTTCAATCGATGTTAGTGTTTGCGTCTGCATCCACCACTTGGCTGACGTCAAAGGGGATGGAGGTCAATGAGGCTTGCTCTAGATGTGGTTGGGCATCTGAAACATCGAGCCATCAACTTAGAAACAATGCTCAACTTGCCCAGTTTACTTCGAATCATACTCTTGATTTTCTTTCTCTTCTTAGTGATATGGCTTAAGCTGAATCATTCAGCTTGGAAACAATGTCCAACTGCCTGTTCACATACAAATATAGATAAAAACAGTGAATTCGTGAAAACCTAACAAAACCACAAAACCTAACATTTTTTATTGCATGAAAAACTTGAAGTAAAAGTCAAACTGTTATTTTTTTTACAAAAATGAGAATGTTTATAAACTTTTTCCTGAGAAAGGATGCAAAAAAACAGGCAAAAAATGTAGCGATTCTCAAAATGTGCAAAAATTATTTTCCAGCAAAGGGCATGTTATAAGACTATAAGTTATTCTCAGTAGATTGACAAAAAGTATAACTCAAACAAGACAATCTTTAAGGACTGCAAAGCGAAGTTCAACTCGAAAGATGTTAAAAAAAAATAATTTTAGTGAATACTCATTTATAAAACTATAAGTCGTTTTCAGCAGTTTGGTAAAAACTAAGCTCTACGATAACTAGTTTAAAGAACTATAAATTAATATATATAAATCCACTTTTAAGTTAACTATAAAACTCTTATCAAAAAATATATGTTATGTAAAAAAAAAATCAAACAACTTTTGCTTGGAAGATATCTTCAAATTTTCAGCCAACCATGATTTAAAATTAAAAAATAAAAAGTATTTCAATAAAAAATAATAAAAAACATATATGATAGAGCATATCCAAACAAATATATTCATGAACAGGAGAACATGTGTGGGTGTTTGGGAAATCCCCGAATAGGTTTGTTGTGCTACATATCTTAAAAACTATAAATATGATATTTTTAGATCAAACAAAATTGGGATATTTGAGTTCCTGAACAAACTGTGCTTTGCAAGGTGGTGATTTTTTGTAAAAGAACTTGTTTTTCTCCTCACCACTTCCACTGGTTCTGAAAAAATATGTTTCTATTCCTTTTTTGCGGTTAATTTACTTCACAAGGAAATTATCGAATTTTGTTCATGTAGGAGGCCTGAAAAATGCACTATCAAAAATTTTAAAACATTTCGTGCAAACCTAACAATTTTTCTTAAAGGTTTTTACGAATCATATGTTTGAAGTACTTTCAATTATACTTTGTTGCTTAGTGTGTGGTTTCAGGTTAAACCGGCTTGGAAACAATGCTTAGCACTTCGTCAAAATCCTCCCTCGAAATAAAACAAGAGACTGGACCATTCGGTTTAGAAACAATGTTCAATGTATCTCAAGTTACACAAAAACATGCGGTTTGAACCATTCGGCTTGGAAACAATATTCAACTTCAGTCAAAAATTCCAAAAGAAAACAGATACAACAATCCATTCAGCTTAGAAATAATCTTTGACCACAAAAAAATCTGGCAAGCAAGCAATCAGAAATAAACACAGCAACCAGACCATTCACCTTTGAAACAATGCTTGGTCCTTTAAAAAACAACCAATAAACAAAACACTGGTCCTTTGAAACAATGTTTGGTTCTTTAAAAAACAAGCAATAAACAAAACACTTAGAAACAATATCCAACATTTGGTTGACCTGGTTAAATGAATGGAATACCACCTTCCTCCTATTGTCCCCCAGTTCATCCCTTAGTTTGATTTCGTTTACCCGATCAAATGCATGCGATACCACTTTCCTCCCACCTTCTTTCTGCCAGTCCATCCCTTAGTCTGATTTCAGTAAAAACAAAATTAAAATTAAAATTTACACATTCATTCCTTTTAATTAATCTGATTAAGTTATGAAAAGAAACAAAAATCATAGAGGAACGCATGCATAATTCTCTGACAAACTAGAGAGATGTAAACAGTAGGGGTATATTGGGTTCACAGAAAGCAAGGGAGGTATACCTGACAGTTCTCTGACTCC